GGGGGGGGGGTGGAGGAGGATCTGCTTCCTTGTTCGACAATTTAAAAAAAATGACAGTTGATAATTGTACTGCCTTTTCTGACATAATTTTCTTTCTTCAATAAAATCTGCAAACACGCGATGACTTTATTTTAAAAATAAGAGTATGTCAGAAAGGACATGACATGCAGTAGATGAATTTTTAAATTTAATACTATTATTCCGACCTAAAAAGAGGGTGTATGGTCGTAGGAATGGGTGAGGGGAGGTATTGTATGTTTTCTTTCTATTTGCATTGGTAAACAAACAATCATAATGCAATGTCATATAAATGTGCTACATTTTGTGGGTTGTATTTACCTTGTACATTCCCACCAAAGGGGATTGGATGGGGTAGAATAGAAACTTAGATAAAAAATTATAGAAGCGTATGCCTACCTACTCCACCCTCCTCACGACTTGACGCATGTACATGTATACTGGTAAATGCATCGGTCACAACGGAAGGTTAGACTGAGAAACAATTAAAATACAATTTGCGTTGAGTTTTAAAAATTGTTTAATTTGTGATATATATGTATCCGCCATTCCGCCCTTATGTTGTGTTTTCTATGCGAACTAATAAATCATGATATAAAATGCATGACACATGCAACTGTGGGAGTCAGAATCGAATCTCATCCCACCCTCCTTGCCCCGTTGTACACTAGCCCATCATAAATTTCTTCATCGTTAAAATGTTTCTAACGTGTATTTCTAAATTTATAAGTTTTGAATTCAATCCCACTTATTAATCTAATTCCATCCAAGTTAGCATATTCATAAATCATTGCAATGGTTGTAAAATATATACCAAGTGCACATGTATAAAAATATTAATGTTTGAGAATGGAAGATTTACTCATTCCTAGGGAATATATTAGGACGGTATGTGCATGTATTTTTGTATCATTGTAAATGTCATTTTGGTGTAATTGTAAATTCTGTATTTACTGCCACCCGGGAAATTCAAAATTTACAACACATGACAGGGGTATAAATTTGTCGATATATATAAAATATAGACTGTCAAGGAATGATATATAGTGCGCCAAAATACAAATTTATCCCCCCCCCCTCCAATTATATTGTTTCCTAAGGACCTGATCATTATCATTTTACTTTATCACAAATACGGTTATAAATATATAATATCAAAAAGTAGTCTCAATATTGAACAAGATGTGTTTGTGAAACACTGATGCCCCAGTACGGCAACATCAGTCTGATTAAAATCAAACCTTCACTAGCTCCTTTTTATTGTTTTGTCGCATGAAGGTCCTTCACGCGACAAAACAATAAAAAGGAGCTAGTGAAGGTTTGATTTTAATCAGACTGCGGCAACATATCAAAGATTAAGTTTTTCTTAAATGCAAATTTAATTAATTGGTACAAAAATTAGGGTATTCTCACTGGAAAACAATTGTGAAATTTGAAAGTAAGCCAATGTTAAAGTTTTTTTAATAAGTACAAAAATCTCCAATATCAAGGTCATAAAGGTCAATGTAATTAGTATCTAATGAAAAATCTTGCCACATAGAATACTTATGTAGAGCATGAAGGCCCTAGCCCTAACCATTCAGAAGTTAAGGCCAACGTTCAATTTTTTAAAAATGTAGGTCAAACTCCAAGGTCAAGGTCAAAGAGTCAAAGTTCTTGTTATCAAAATGAAAGGTCTTGTCATAGGAATCAAATATGTGAAGTATGAAAGCACTGCCCAAACTCTTTATAAGTTATGGTCAAGGTTTGCTTTTTTAAAGTAGGTCAATCTCAAAGGTCAAGGGGTCAAAGTACTTGGTATCCAATGAAGGGTCTCCTCACAAACATATATGAAGTATAAAACCCCTATCCCTTACCATTCAGAAATTATGGCCAAGGTTAAAGTTTTTTCACAAGCACGGAAATCTACAAGATCAAGGTCAAAGGGTCAAGGTTGTTGGTATCCAATGAAAGGTCTTTCAACAAACATTACGTATGTGAAGTATAAATGTCCTGGTGTACGTCTCCTGTTCAAAAGATATGGCCAAAGTAAAAGTTTAATTTTTTCCTGTAAAAGTGGGTCAAACTCCAAGGTCAAGGTCAAAAGGTCAAATTTGGTGGTACCCAAAGAAAGGTCTTGTCACAAGGAATACACATATGAAATATGAAAGTCATAGTTCCACTAAATCAAAAGTTACGGGCAAGGTTAAAGTTTTTGTGGACAAACAGACAAACAGAGAGACAGAGAGACGGACGGACACGACAAAAACTATATACCCCTGAAACTTCGTTTACGGGGGCATAAAAAGAACATTTGTTTATCTATAAACTTCAATTATTTATAATATAAATATCAACTGAAAATCTCAGGGAAACAAGGAAAGTGTGGACATTGATTGATTTTCTTCTACTTGTTCTACCGAAAAAAAAATTCCCAATGCAGCTTGTATTTAAAATCATTAAAATAATTAAGTCAAAAGTACGAAATATCGATATAAGATATTAATGCAATAAAAAGGATGAATGAGAAGGGAGGGGGTTAAGAACTCCAAGAGATTAGTTTGCATTAAGTTTCTAATTATATGCTAAGTACTTATTAATTGAAATTACTATTTCTGTTAATACTTAAATGATTTTTTTTTTTGAATGACCATCTTCAATACTTAGGGTACAGGTTTGCCAGACTGGCTGTGTAGAGGTATCATCCCCTGGTGCCCTTTGTATTCAAGATGCACTAGTTTTATATTAGAGTACTGCCATTACTACAAGATTTTTTTTTTTTTTTTTTTTTTTTTTTTTAATTTACCTTATATCTATCATTTTTATTTAATTGTGTTTTCTTTTATCATTCTATGGTTTCTATGCTTTTGATCCAGTGTGGTGATGCACTTCTCAATGTCAAACTTAATCACAAGTCATGTTACATTATTTAATATAGAATTGTAATCAATGTTATCATTTTGTAATAATTGTTCATGCCCCCTGTGGGCCCTTGATTGGTGAATAAACATATATATATAAAACGGTATGGAAAAACGTTAGGCATCTTTAATAAAATTAAATTCAAACGGTTTACATGTACATGATTTATAAAATATAATATTGAACACCGACTTCGATTTACACCTGTGGATCAGTCTAATATAAATCATATTTCATTTTTTGGGTTCGACATTCTAAAATAAAATAAATGAATTCTCCCTGCTAGCCTATCTGAACAACTGACGTCACTTTACTTTGGAAGAGCTGAGCGAGAAGACGTGAAAAGGCATTGCTCATTTTCCCGGATTAACTTAGTAAAAGCATCATGTCGGAGAGTAGTCCCAAGAAACGTGCAATTTCCTCCCTCGACCAGCTTAAAAACATGACTGTCGTGGTCGCTGACACTGGAGATTTTGCCGGTAAATACTAAAAATAAACTCCAAAATGTTTTCAGGTCAACATAGCCTCATAGGTAAACCGTGCAGCTATTTCATGGCCATCTGACTCGCCGGCTTTTATATTGTTTACATCTTCCTTGTTGTTTTGATGATAGCCGTAGCTTTTAACTTAAGTGATGTACATGTATATACAGTGTTGTCGACATGCACGCCTGAAATGTTAAGTGATCGTGTCGTGTGTGTGTACACACAATCATCCGCATGTTAAGGCGCGGATCCAAGAACTTTGTTATCTTTAAATGAATTATCTGGACTGTATTATTTTCGGGAATTATTTGTACTACCCCTTTTATTTCAACTGATCCCTTTTTTTAAAAACAGTTTTGAATTTTTTTTTTCCAATGATATATTGTCACCTAACTTTATGCAGATTATAGGATCCTTTTTTTTTTCATTTCAGCCATGGCAAAATTCAAACCAACAGATGCCACAACCAACCCCTCCTTGATTTTGGCTGCTGCCAACATGGAGTCCTACCAGGGACTGATTACAGAGGCCATTGAATATGCTAAAGGTGTAGGAGGGTATGTGTAAAACTACTCTTCTTAATAAAGGGGGTATTTATTCAACCTTTTCTGTCAAAATAGTATTAATATGTATAGCTAACTGAATTTTATTTATAATTTTTTTTAATTTTAGATGCATACTACTTGTACAAAAAACAATTATGTACATATGCAGCTGAAATAATGTTGTAAACAACTATCAGGGCATAGATCATATTAGTGATACTACTATGATTTTATACATGTAGATCAATTGAAGAGCAGGTCACAAATGCCATGGATAAAGTCTATGTGAACTTTGGATGTGAAATCCTAAAAATTATCCCTGGTAGGGTTTCAACAGAAGTTGATGCAAGGTAAAAAAAAAAAATCATTAATATTTTTGAAAGATGTTAAAAGGATAAAAAAAAATTGTAAGTGCAGATGCAAATCTGTTATCAAATGATTTTTTTTATTAAAAATTTACAAATTGAGTCAATTGCAAAATCATTTCTAACAGAAGAAAAAATGTTAAACTTTGGTAATAATTTTCAAATGTTTTACCAAAATATTTTTAGATGTGCATGATGAAGAGCAAGATGGTTTCAACAAAAATGCACATTTTAAAGCTTAATTATTTGTACATATACTGTCTTTTTATGCAATTTTTTTCATCCTCATTTAGGTTATCTTTTGATAAAGAGGGCTCCATAGCACGAGCCAAAAAGCTGATAGATCTATACAAAAAGGCTGGAATCTCCAAAGAAAGGATTCTTATTAAACTGTCATCAACCTGGGAGGGGGTAGAAGCTGCAAGGTACTGAAAAATATTGGATATTTATGGTTTTCTGGTTTTAAAATGCATATGTTAAGTACTGTATTAAAAGTACAATGTACTTTTTCTCATTTGAAAGTTGATATAGTCAGTTGGATATACAGCTGTATATTTCATTTTCTTTTGATTTTAGGGTCTTGGAGAGTGAATATGGAATCCATTGTAATATGACCTTACTTTTCAATTTTTATCAGGTGATTATCTTTTACTTCTTTCAATTTTTGTAATTTCCTCAAGGAAGGTAACTCTTTGAATCTTATTTATGTCTTTAAACATTTCTTCTTTTTCAGGCAGTGGCTTGTGCAGAAGCTAAGGTGACACTTATTTCTCCTTTTGTGGGTAGAATTTTTGATTGGTTTGTTAAGAACACAGACCAAAAGTCTTACAGTATGTTAGAAGATCCAGGTAAGTTTTCAAATGACTGACATTTTTTCTCAATTAGTCCACATCTATATGAATTTCCGTGGATAAGGTCAAAGACTTAACAGTTATATAGCTTTAAAATGATAAAAACTGGTAATGTTTTGTTCAGTATTTTGACAGTGCAAGTAACTTTAATGTTTCAACCACTGCTACCTTTAAAAGACCAATTTGTACAGGTTTACTTAAATAATTTTACATGAAGGTTTATATCCTCACATTTCACTCTCTCCTCTGTAATTATTCAACATTTTTCTGTAATAATTCAATATTTCTGCCAAAACATAATTACACCAAAAGGAATGCAGATCATGATAAAAAATAATTTTGAGATTATCAGTTTATAACCTAGAGAAATGGTGCATGTATTATTTTTTTAATTTATGAACATTGCTGGAGTAAATGTTTTCAGAGATGCTGATTCTACATGCATTTAATATTGCTTTTATTTTAGGTGTTAAAAGTGTGACAAAGATATACAATTACTATAAGAAGTATGGCTACAACACAGTAGTAATGGGTGCTTCCTTCAGAAATACAGACCAGATTCTGGGGCTGGCAGGATGTGATCTCCTTACCATATCGTAGGTCATTTTATCCCTGTAACAAGAGTGATAAACCATGCGTACTTAGATTAACTTTAATCGGTATGATCTTAATTGATTTAATGAGTAACAAATGGGTTTTTGGTAGGGAAGGAAAGATTTATTGGAAGTTTTAAAAAAAAAATTAGGGGTGGTGGGTGGTGGTTACTCCTCCAATTAAGATACTCGTTTAATGTCCCTATGCTCCTTATATACATGTACCAGTACCTTGATGCGAAGTTGAAAGTGTCTCCCCGTTCACCATGCTGGAGGAAGGAATGGGAGTCAATTCAAAAAGCTCTGGGCATTTCTGTGTAAAACTATTTAGCATGTAAATAAAGCAAAGATATTACAAGCAAATTTAAACCGTTAACAATTCCTTCATTTAGATTCATTGATATAAGGTATCTTCTTTCATTCCTAGTGCCTCATATTCATTACAGTATCTTTTTTCATTACTAGGCCTTCATTGCTGGATAAATTACAACAATCAACAGAAGAAGTTAAACCATATCTGTCAAAGAAACAAGGTTAGTTATTTATAGTTTATCTTCTGAGGGAGTTATCACCCTTTTTATACTGATAAATGATTTGAAATTCAAGAGTGTAAGTATAGGGGCCTAAGCAGATTTGAAATTCAAGAGTTTAAGTATAGGGGCCTAAGCAGTTTTCTCCTTTAAAAAGGCTCTCAGGTCAAATAAAAAATTTCCAATTCCTTCTTAGAATTTTTTTCTTGCACATTTATATCCATACATATCCATATATCTCAAGTGCATACATCTTATAGTTATCCCCCCAAAATTACGAAACTACAAAATTAATGCTCAGATACAGTTTAAAAATGAAAACTTATTTAACTTTTTTGCCATATTTATGAACACAGATTTCTTTCCAATTTTAGCTCAGAACTTGGACATTGAGGAGGTCACAGTGGATGAAAATAAATTCAGGTGGGAAATGAACGAGGATGCCATGGCAACAGAGAAGCTTGCCGAGGGAATCAGAAAGTTCGGTGCAGATGCCATTAAACTGGAAAACATGCTGAAGGAAAAGTTACTTCAGTGAAAAACATATTATCTCAAAACACATAGAGGATTCTATTTTGCTATTATAATGTTGTTAGGAATTATCGAATCTGGTGATATTTTGATTTACAGGTACATAGACTGCAACTTACAGTGTTCTATTATTTATCATACCAATTTTTGTTTTATTTTGATTTGTGTAGAATAATTTAAACAATATTTTATAATTATGAATGAAAAAAAAGATTGGACTGCAAGCACTGCCTGTATAAAGTCCTCTCCAAAGTTCATGGTCAAAGTTGTATTTGTGCTAGTCAAATTATTTAGTTAAGGAACATAGATTTTTTTTATATAAGAAATTAACAATAACAAGATAGAAGAAACAATTTTTAAAGAATTAATTATTTGAATGAGATTTTGGCATCCATTCAAATAAGAATAACATTTGTTAATAGCAAAGCATCATCATTTTATACAAGCTAGCTAATGGCTGATTTTGGACTCCTCTTAAAGAGATATGGTGTTTCAGTATTTAGGTTGATTCTTATCAATATGCAATTAGAAGAGACTGAATTTTATGATTACAAATACAAAGTATTCAGTCAATGTAACGTGTTGTATACTTTATTCTGAGAGGTCTAGCCAGTTCTACATGTTATTTGACCTTACCTATCATAGACTCTGATGTAAAGTAATGAAATAAAGATACATATTTATTGATGGAGATGACACTGAATGATTTCTTTATACTAAGATAATTGTAGAAAAAGCATTAAACTATATATTATTATTATTTTTTCTGTCTTTTATTTTATCAGATATTTTCAAATGCAATGAAATGTATGATGAAGACTAAAGGATTAAAAATTAACTTGAGAAATCAACAACTTACATTCTTTTCTCATTTGAGATCTTAATGTAACAAAAACAAGCTAATTCAGAGAATTTGTGTCCCCCGCTTAGGGAAAAGTAAACCATGCGCAGTTCGGGGGTCGGGGGGGGGGGGGGTCGAGGGTTCGGATCCCCTTCACTGAATTTGTAGAATTATTAAATGTATACAAATGTATACATACAATGTAAGCAAATAAAATATGCCATTATGGATATACAGGTTCGATGGATTATTCTTTATTATGTGTGTAGAAGATTCTTTTTTATATGGAATATTTATCACACTGTAATGGTGATATTATGAATTTGTACAAGCCAGACCTCATAAATTTTTCATTTCACATGCTGAATACTATCGTTTAGTAAAAAAAGAAAAGTATTTCGAGATAAAAATGGATCGTCCGAGATGCGATCCCGGGCCATCTCACATTTGAAGCGAGAGACATACATTAATCGCTAGACCACGGAGCCGCTGTAACATAATGATAATTGTATACAAACATGAAGTGACACACACACACACATATATATATATATATATATATATATATATATATATATATATATATATATGGAGGTTTTATGTATAAAGGAGACCACTCATCCACATATATATACATTAGGGGGACACGGATATTGAGGGGACACCAAATTGGTCCCCTTAATGTTTAAGCTTGAATACCTAAATTACAGAATGATCCAGTAAGCATTAGTTATAAACTTTAAATAAAGTTTGACATGATCTTACAAAATTTAATTACATTTAAATTTTTTAAGTATGGAAAAGGTAGATAAATAGCATCCAATTTTCAGCATATATATTTTTAGGTAAATAAATTTATGCTTTAAGGACACCACTAAAAAGTCTCTTTATTTTTCTTATTTCCCATATATAAAAATAAATCTGCTAATTCATGCATTCATTTATGGTGTCTTTAAGCTTAGGAACACGATTTTACATATTTTTGAAAACTAGTTAAAATATTTATTTTTTCTTCACCATGAAACGCATGACATTTCTGTTTCGAGTCGTGCTATGGTCATCCGGGTATTTCCAGGGAAGGACGCTACAGAGTACAGAGTCATGTTCAAGGGCAGTATGTGATTTTTTAAATGGTAAGTTTATTTGCTTGGTGTATTTTGCTGAGTATGAGAATTTATGTAAATGTTGACAGTTAGATATTAAATCGCGAGATATTTATTATAGTTATAGCCAACTAAAGTAACGGCGTGTATCACCAAACCATGCAGGCACGTAGCATCGTTTTTGAAAATGGGGGGCCAACCAGAGATTTTTTTTCACCTGAAAAAGTTGACAAGCAAAAAAAAAAAACAAACAAACAAGAATTAAAAGTTCCCCGAACTCGAAAATCCTATTTCGTGACGTTGGATGGGTGGGTGAGGGGGGGGGGGGGGGTATGACCAACTTCTGGAAGCCAACGTACTCTCACTTCCAATTTTTTTCCGTACGATCCTTGATATCTCTATACTATGTTATAAAGTGGGGGGGGGGGGGGTTCACCATCCTTTCAATGAACATTTTAAGGTAATGTTGGGGAACAAAGTGCCCCCCCCCCCCTGCGGATGCTACGTCCCTGCAAAGTTGGGATGTGGTTACTGATGTTCATCCAACATGCACATGGTCATGATGATGTATTGTTGGATAATTCACAATTTATTGCAAATTGGAAACCAAATTAAGCTTTTTTTTAAAATTATGTCGGTCAATAGACGTTTATTGTAGGCAGCTAGGTGACAATATTACCTTCAATATTCGCTATGTTTAGAGAAAATTCAAGATAGAGATATTGCTAATTCATACTCCAAGGCCCTAACATGCGAGTATCCTTTATTGCCGAAAAATACCACATTTTTCTTTGACATATCCAGCTACACCAGTCCGGGCTAAAAATAAACCCCGTCCATGACCTTTGGTAAACAGGAAGAATTATTGCCGCTTATATCATTTCTTGATTATTCACCAACTTAATCGCTAAACGAACCAACAACTATTAAATTAATGACAATTAAAGGTCGAAAAATGTCTTGAATCTAAAATAATTCAATTAGAAACGCAATTTGAATGTCTTATTTTAAACTTTTGCTGGCCTATTTTTTTTTTCGATGTTGCTACGACCTCCTGCGTTAAAATAACATGTGCTTTGTCGGAACTGACAATGACCGAAACACTATTTTTCCAAGTGAACACAGTATCATGACAGATAATAGAGAGAAAAGTATAAACCTCATCCGCTGCAGGGCTTTGGAAAACACCTGTTTAACCAGTTTTTGCATGTATTTTGCTTGTGTACGTGAACCAGCCTTCAAAATTTCCTTACAACTTGGTGGGCGGAGTTCTGTGGTTAACTGGCTAAAGCCGAGAGACTAGAGCCCAATGGTGTACTTAAACATCGATCACAGTAACTGGATGTCATTGGTCAGTGTCATTTGGATAAGAAAACTCTTTAAGAATCTTCTTCTCAAGAACAACAAACCCATGATTGGTCATATTTTAATGGAAGCATCCCCAGGACTGATATTTCTGTTTTTTCCTAGCCAGAATGCTCAGGTGAGCACATTTTCATTCATTTCATGATAAGTATTTTGAATTTCAGGTAAATATCAGTATCTCGAACATGGAATATCTAGAATACCCCGCTTATGTCGAAGACGGAAGTTGATAGCCGGTCCCTGCCGATTTCTCAATATTAAAGATTTAAAAAACACCGGATATCTCGAATACCCTGCTCATGTAGAAGTATATTTTAAGTCCCAGGCCTTTTTTTAATCTGGCTTATCTCGAAGTGCAGCGAATTTTTCGGTCTACTGAACACACCTGGCGTCATGACTTAATTAAAACATTCTCACCAGTGGCTATTAATACTTGATATCGCGATTACTTAACTTAGCGGAACTCTTTCGTGAAGGAGGTAGGAATCGTCTGTTGGATGGGGGCAATTTGCTATTCAATACAATGCAAGATCGATTATTGTAGCATTTATAAGGACAGATAAGTAAAAAATCCCGGTGGAATACCTCGCAGCCGCTAAACAATCGCTGAAACAGTCAAATATATTTTATAATATAAAATATATTTTACCAACACCAACTTGGGAGTTTGGCGTACATTAAGTCTACGACGCATAAAACTAACCTGACTTTGCTGCGCATGCATGCAGTTCAGAAATTAAATACAGACAGTATTACCGATATTGCAATTAATTATATACTCTGTATGATTAAAAATCGTAATTTCATAAAACACCAATTTTTTTCACAATAAACTTAAATAAAATAGTCAACTTGCATTGCATAATGCACAGTGCAATGATTGATTAGGCCAAACAAAAAAATAACTTTGTTTACTAGCTGTTATATGCTGAAATAAAATGGGGTCGATAGGTAGGATTTTTTTTTTTATTGAATGGAATTTTTTTATACACAAATTCACGTGAATTGGTTGAATTAAATAAAAGTTTTACCATTGTATGGTGCCTTACTTTTGTTTGGGCTTGTAATATGGGTGTTAGACAATATAATCTTTCTTGCCAATTGCCTTATAACTCAGGGGTGTGCAACTGAAAAAAAAAATCAAGTACTAACCCACAGCTAGGTTTGTAACAGCAATAAAGTTACTAGTCTGCAGTTAAAAATGACCAGTCCAATTAAAGGGGCAAAAAAAAAAAAAAAAATTTTAAAAACTAATATTTTAAAAAGTTCATTGTTGAGAAAGCCAGGCCAGGTCCATCGTCGCAAACCACGGCCAACATGTACGCTCCTCTCCCATTCTGGCCGTGGTTCAACGAGGAGAGAATTCTTCGAAGCTCATTAAAATATTGACCAATGCGAGTAAAGCATAGTCGGATGACCTTTCAATATCCAATCGCAGTAAGGGAAATATTTCTTGTATACTGTTGACGTCAGTTGTTGATTTCGATTGCGATGGAAACAAAACTTTCCACTGACTGAATATGACGTCACAATAGAGAGGCGTGAATATTCAAGATAACGACACTTTTTGTAATCAAGCAGCCACGGGTAGGAGAGAGCTATATAAGCGGACTCCGGACCGTGGCTTGAGACGATGGGCCAGGTCCTAAGTCATTCCTTTTAAAGTTGAAATTTATAAATTTTAAGAAATTATCTTTTCTTTTTCTGAACATATTGCACTATAGTCTAGCTTATCTAAAATGAAGCAAAAATCATTTTATTTTCTTTTAAACCATTGAGTATAACTGATATATATTAAAGTTTAATCACATAACACTTAGCTATCAGTTGATTGGGGGGTCATATATAATTGAATGAGATATCTGCATGTATTTACCAAACAGAGAGTAGAGGAAATTCTGATTACGAAAAAATGATCGTTTTTAGGTCACCTGAGTAAACTCAGGTGACCTATTGCTATCTGTTTTTGTCCGTCGTCGTTCGTCGTGCGTCGTGCGTCGTGCGTTAACATTTGAACATTTTCAGCTTCTTCTCTGCAAC